TTATCCCTTCGCTTGTGTCTGTTACGCCGAGTAAAGAATGTGTTTGGTGTTATCCCTTCGCTTGTGTCTGTTACGCCGAGTAAAGAATGTGTTTGGTGTTATCCCTTCGCTTGTGTCTATTACGCCGAGTAAAGAATGTGTTTGGTTTAGTGTGCAAAACCTGCACACCTATGGCTAATAAGGTCTGTATCATAATTACCAGAATTTTTTATATACAAGTATCTGTTAATAACAAATGTAAGTTAATGTTTTTCATTAGAAAGAAGAAATAAAATGCTTGTGAAAGTTAGAACTGCATCTTTAAGTGCAAAATATTTATGTTTCATACATATTAAGTTCAAGAATCTATTGTTGAATTTGTCATTTTGGAATTTAGCTGAGGTTAAAACGAATTGGTACAAGTTCAGTTGAAACAAAACTGTTTGATTAGTGGTCATGTTATATGTTCCTTGATCTATGTACCTTATAATATGTAAAGATTACAACCTTCTAAACTCGGTAATGTCAGACTTCCATTGTTTTGTGTTATGAACGTTAGTTTAGTGAAATCTATACTGATTCTACTATATATATTGTTTTTTAAATGGCATGCTGATACAGAGGTTAATTACTCTATGTAAGTGTTTTTCCCAAGTCCTCTGATGCCCTTATCTGTTGTACTCTCAGTCTGTTGGCTACGATTATGACACTGTAATTTCTATTTTAACAATCTTGAGTAAAGAATGATGATGTCAGTATTAACTCCTTTTTACAGACTTCCCACGGACCTTGTACTGTACATAGACATTGGTTTCCAAGGCCACATTTAAGCAAAAGATTCAAAAATCAGTTGGAGCTGCATTAGTGGACTTGACAGGTTTGTGGTTAAACAAGATTGCTCTGATTCCAGTTTCTTCAGTCATCTTTCTCGAAATAGCTGTTGACTTTTGAGTGTCCCTGGAAACTTTTGAGACTTCTTCAGCTTCAAGTTCTACATTATTATCTTGTTAATGGTACCAAGAGATATGCCTAGCTTCATCACCATAGCTTTGTGGGTCAGAAGGTTCTCTTTCATGACTATAACTTCTCTTGATGGATGATGGCATTTATTTGGATGGCTTGGGGTGTAGTTTAGGAAGCTGTTTCTGTTTAAATGCTTTATTGTTCAAGTTTTTCTGCTCCATGCAAGACATTGAACACTTTTTTTCCTCAAAATATTGTCGTTTAGCTCTACATCGTTTAACAATCTAATATACAGATATTTTTCTTGAGAGAGGCTTTTTATATCCTTCTAGTCACAAGTCTAGTTGTGGTGGTATTACACATTGTAAATGTTTGGAAATTCACCATGAACAATATTTATAAGTGCTGTGGCTTACATCTGTGAATGAGTGACATCTTTAAAATCATGAACAATATTTATAAGTGCTGTGGCTTACATCTGTGAATGAGTGACATCTTTAAAACAAAGTATGACTAACCTACAGTATACCGCTAAGCCATAAAGGAAGTTACATAACGGATAAAATAATATAAAGGTTAGGTCAAAATATACTATACTAACAGACAGGATTGAAAACTGTCAAGGAAGCAAAATTTTCAACAACATTACTGCAACCACTGTAAGTTCAAAATGTAATAAATAAAGTATAGTGTGTGTGTGTGTGTTAAAAGAGATATTTGTGATTCTGTTACATGCTAATACACAATTTCTCTGTATCACTATCCAAAGGTGCTACCAGTTAATGTTCTTTTGTTTCAACATCTATATATTTAATAATCTTTACTGCTCTTTTATTTCTATGTTTTGATATCTAGTTTATTAAAGTCTTGTGAGTTATTAACGGTAATTAGACCTTTTAGAAAGTAAGTCTTTTTAATACCAGATGTCATCATGTAACTACCTTTGTGGATGTAATAGTATCATATAATATAGAAATGATCGGGTTAATGTTGTACTAGAAATTTCTTTTATTTCTTAGCATACGAAGTACTTTCCGATCCAGACAAGAGAAAAAAGTATGACCAGTTTGGTGAAGCAGCATTTGAAAATGGTGGTGAGGGTCCTGGTGGACCACATGGCTTTCAGTTTAACTTCAATGAATTCTTTCAAAACTTTGATGATGCCTTTGCATATCATCGTGGACATCGTCAAGGTCACGATTTCCACAATCACGAAGGTCATGGCTTCAGGTTCCAGTTTGGTGGTCCACACAGTGGATTTTTTGATTTTGACGATCTTTTTTCAGACATGGAACCAGAAGAAGGACCATTTGCAGGAGGATTTGGTTTTAATGGATTTGATCCTTTTGGTAGTGGGGATTCCTACTTTGGCACTCATTTTGGTAATCAACACATGTCTAATCATCAGTTCAAGGCTCACCACAGTCACAAAAGCTCGGGTAAGGATTTCTGCACCCTACTATCTTATTTTTCAGTTAGTTATTATATTACGGCGTCTGTTTTCTTTCTATATAAAGCTACATTTCTTTGAAATTCAAAATATTTGTCCAACTTGAACCAAGAATATGTTTATGATCAAATTTCCATGACAACTAGTGTATAAAATATGGTAATGTTTCCCCTACACACCTCGCATTCTGTTTCTTTTTCATTTGGTCATCTCCAACTTCTCAGCAATTAAATTTGCCATGTTTCAATACAGACTTGTTACCAGTGCCTGACAATGTAGGTATTACTGATTACCAAACATAACCAAATTGTACATGGTAAAAAGTTTTACGTTTGAATTGTGTAGTAAATTAATGTGTAAGTCCAATGTGTACAGAGTATAGAAGGCAACTCTTCACAGTACGATGTTACAGCATGCTAATGAGTTGTATAACACCAAAAACATAGGGCCAATAGAAACATGAAAATGGTGTTCACTCTCAGTAATTGATTTGTTGTTACGATGAAAGTAATTGCTTCTCTTCCAGTTAAATTAGGTGGAAAATTATATTTTTTGTGTAAAATTAGGCTGCAGTCAAAAAAAATTAATAACTTGTTTTATTTAAATATTAATGAAATTAATTAGGCTGGAGTCAAAAAAATTTAATAACTTGTTTTATTTAAATATTAATGAAATTGGCATGCATTTTCTAATTCTTTTACACAGACAAATTTAAAAATTGCTCATGTATTAAATTATGTTAAGAATGTTGACTTATCTACAAAACTTTTTTTTTAATTTTTAAAATGTTTGAAGATTTATTAGTTCCAAAGATTATTAGTTTTTAGACTTTCCAAATTATGCTAATAAAGCATTAAACAACCCTCAACTTATTAAATTATTGCAACGTTTAAAGTTATTAAAATTTATTTACTTTATGCAGGTGGTTCACGGTGCAAGACTGTGACAGAAAGGCGAGGAAACATGGTTACAACATACACCCAGTGTTTCTAAGTTCTCTACCCTTTGACCAGCGGAAGGAGGATTGATGTGATCCTTTTTGTAAACGATTGTAATAATATATCTTGTACATGTAAAGGTTGATGTAAAGAAAATTCTGTACAGCTTTTAAAATTAAAGTGACAGAGTATATATTAAATTATTTATGTAAAACTATGATACAAATTAGGTTTCCTTGTATATTAAAAGTTAACTAGTAGCTTGCATGTTCTTCTGAATTGTGCTCTCTACTGCATATACGACATACGTAAGGGGGAGGAGTGCATTTTCTTAGTATTTAGACAAAGTTATAAGTTTGTTAACATGCCTATGCATTTTAGAGATTTGATGCTTTTATTGCTAAATTTATTAAATAAAACTGTCATTACAATCAGGGTTGAGATTGGGTGTGTAACTATAGTAACAATTCTCACGAGACTAAGTCAGATCTGTGGCTTTAGTCTTGATAATTGGGAAACTCTTTTAATGTGGAGATTCTTATTTTAACTTTGGCCTTAGTTTTAAGTCTTAACACAAGAGAATGAAAAACTAGGTTACACACTTTCACATTCATTCCAGGAAGTCTGGAGAGACCTTGTGGTAGAACACAGTTGTATAACCAAGGTGTGTGTGTGTGTGTGTAGTTGGGTTGCCATATTACTTTCCATTCTCTCAATTCCAGCATTTAATATTTCAAAATTGGAGAAATGAAATATACATTAATGTAGATAGATAGTCCATAATACCACCAATTAAATGTTTCTTTTTTCTGAAAATATGTATTTTCCCAACATTTATTTCTTAAGAGCAGATGGACACCATGACTGTGTACAGTTCTTAGATGTACAAAAAAAGTGCTCAGTTTATAAAGGGTAACTAATGTGCAACACCAAACAAGTCTTGAATTACAAACCCAGCTAGTGCCTCAGTTTACCTCCAGATGACCTTATATTTCATGGTTGTTTTCTTGGTTTTACTTTGTATATAGTTGCATCGATGTTGGTTTTAATATTTATGTAACTAAAGTGTAACAAACGGTCTGGCATGAACACAAGGACAATGTGTATAAAATTCTTCTTGTATTATATAATAATATCTAAAACGTCCAGTTGGTGTGTACAGGGAACTACCATTAATTCAGCTAATACGAGATCACCATTGCTAGTGGGACTGAACACACTAATAATACCAATTACTGTATTCCAGGTTTATTTTGGATGAATTACTGTGTTCAGTTTATACAAATATGTATATAAGGTGTTGGAAAACAAAAATGTAACCCATAGATCTGTGTTTTGTCAAAATATTTGATAGTATTTTTTCCCATGGTGAATTTTAAGTTTTACTTCAGATGGTTTTGGCATTTCTTTATTTTGGAAACTTTATTAACAATAAAATACTTGTATAATGGCAGATAATTTGTACTTACTTGAAGTGTAACAATTATGTCATATCCAAAAGTATTTATTACTGATTGAATGCTCTTTCAGCCAGTTTATTGAAGACCAAGTAACAACCCTGACATGGAAGAAAATCCTTTTTTTTTCACATTCTTATTTACTGAGATTTAGATTGGATTATTTATGACTGATAAATTATTCATGGACTTGAATATATATAAATAGGTGGTTTACTGAAGAGGATTGGTATCTTACACAGATCTGTGCAAGTCCAATAAAACAAGTATCAACAACACTGTTTAAAATGGCAGTGTGCCACCTTTAACATTTGTAGGGTCTACTTCAGTGGGAACCTTCTACTAAAATAATGATAAAAAGTGATTCTGAACTCTACAAATTTTGTGATGTAGCTCAAGAGACCTACCAAATTCCATCATTCACAGACCAATTAAGTAAAAACTTGGACTTTTAATATTGAAGATGCTGCTTAGCTGGTGTGAAGCGTCTGATGAGCAAATATTGAGTTTGAATCTTATTTGATCTCAGTTTTCACTTCTTTAGATAAATTTTCAAGAATACATAGTTGTATGTGATCATTAAAAATTTTGCAGTCAAATAAATGTTGACATTGGCTAACAACTGAAACGTTTTGTTAATCTTTGAATGATGCAATACAGTAATAATGACGTACCACTTAAGAGTTGTTTGTTTTGTGTGAATTAATGCACAAAGCTACACAATGGGCTATCTATGCTCTGCCCACCACGGATATCGAAACTTGGTTTCTAGCGTTGTAAGTTCACAAACATACCGCTGTGCCACTGGGGGCACCACTTAAGGGCACACACATATATATTTCAGTTCATGATACAAAGAAATAAAACAGGGTCATACAGTTGAGTGTATCACAAAATAAAACAAAAGATGATAATCTAGAAGTATTCAAGGCAGTTGTATATTGATAGTAGTAAAGCTTCTATAATTTATGAATGTATTGACTACAAATTAAAAAAGAAAGATCTCTATACAGTTGTGAGCTAGGCATCACTTGGAATACTGTCTTCTGTTGTAGTGCCTTTATTTAGGAAATGATATTAACTGATTGGAAAAGGTTCAGAGGAGAGCTACTAAGACTATTTTGCCGGGGATGACAGGGTTATTTTATAGGGATAGGTTTCCCGTAACCTGTTTCTTCTTATAGAAACTTAGATGATTAGTTTGAGGAAAATGATAGGATAAAGGTCTAATTCCCTTCATCTGTATTCTGAAGATAAAGGGACGAAAATAAAAGTTTATGGCTTGGAAAAAGACAGGTTAGGCTCATGTTAAGACTGTTATTTTTCTAACAGCTAAGAGTCCCCATTGGTTCAGCGATAAGTCTGAAGGCTCACACTGCTAAAAACCAGAAGTGGAGGCCATCACTTTACAAAAGTTTAGGAGGAGAATTGATGATTTCTTGAAAAATTGTAGGACAGCAAGGGCTACTTATCCCGATATTATACATCGTTATTCTTGGGTATATTTAAATCCAACTGGAAGGACATCGGTGTACTACATTTGTCAGAATATGATTTCTACAATTGTATTTCATGATAACTTTTAAAATTGTAATTAACTTATGTTTAACATTTTCATAGCATAAAGTTTAATTTAAAAACAAAGTACAATACAACAGATGTCACTAATGTTTAATAAGTAATACTAGTGAAGTTATAATAAAAAACAAAAAAATTCCTGCTCACAACAAATAGATTATATTCAGTGACGAATCCTGTTTTTTGAAAGGTAAAGATAAAACTTAACGTCTTTACATTTACCATATAAATAATGAGATGGAATGTTTTCCAAATTTTCATCCTATTATTAAAATGTTCAGGTTTCTAGTGAATTTTTTTTTTATGTTCACAGTTTAATGAACTGTCGAAGAAGAAACCCTAAGCCTAAACGCATATCACGTTGTACCAGTTCATCGTCTAACGAATTTTTGTTCTATTGCTATTTTAACTTAACACAGGAGTCTTCTGGTCGGTAACCTAAAGAAGAAAAACAATATATCTGAAAAGTTATTTTATCTTTTCTAGTATGAAATATTTATATTGAGTATAACTGGCTAACTAACATGTAACAGAAGTGTAAAAGGATTGTGAAAAATCCTGGGATACAGGTTTTTGTTATACGTTGTCATGTAAATTCAACACGAGTAGAAATGTTTATATAAATTAGTGTTATTAAAATACACGTTTCACAATAAGACTTAAAATGTTATCTTTATTAATTGATCAAAAATTTTAATCATTGCTAGGTTTCTAAATTGGAATATTAGTAATCTACTAAGTAGAAATTAATCAAACATGTTGATCTCTAAATAATAATCTGTAGGCCTAAACTTTGTACGTCTTGAGTGTTGTTCCAGATATTGGAGCTACCACGCAACATAGGCTTAACTCCCTGTTTTTCTCACGTCACTAGAATATTAAGTAGGCCCTAGTTTAGGCTAGGAAACCTGTTCTGCTGGAAAGGAAGTTGAATTTCAGATCGTAACTCTGTTAAATTCAAGAACTGTTCTACAAAAGCTGAAATTATTTTATTACAAGTTACAGATTTTACAGTAAGGAAACAGGTACGGCGTTTTTCGATTATACCAGTGATGAAACGTCGTACCTGTTTTAAAAAATAATCTTCTTTACTGTAAAAACTGTAACTTGTAATAAAATAATACTTATAATCAGTAAATAAACTGAAAACGAAACTATTAAAGGTCGACATTATTATAATTTTGGTATATAAACTAGAAATAATTATATCTGAAAAAAGT